CACAATTTTATGTGCAACAGGATATAAAGTCATCCATACTTTTTTGATTAAGTGAGATCGGCTGACTGAAAATTCATTTTAATTCGATGGATGGTGAAACCGATAAAGAAAGGCGTGTGCACCGCTCATTTTCTAATGAAATCATTTTTACGCACTCATTCCCAGTATTTCCGGTTGGTAAATAAGCATTATTGCATGCGTTTGGTTTTCCAAGCATCCGTCGAAGACTCTTGCCAATACACATTTGCCAACTATTCACACAAACTCTGTGTTTTTTTTTTCTCTTTTTCTTCCATTCTCATTTGCCACTTTGAATCCTTTGTCTGTCGATCGAAATTCGCCTTGCGGCCAAATTGCAATGTGTGTGCAACCCTAAGTGTAAAATTTCGCTCGTATAATTTCCGATTGACTGTAGGCCAATGAATCTTTTTTGCTCTCTTAAACACACAAAAACGAAACCGAACACGAATGGAAAAAACGAAGAAGATGATGAAATTCATTTGCCAATATTTGCTTCCTTTTGCTCTCTCTCTCTCTCTCTCTCGCGCGCGCTCACACTCTCGATTCGCTTTGTTTGGGTCTTTTTTAAATGCTCTACGTTGAATGGCCCCCTGAATATAGCGGTGTGGTGAAATTAAATGCAACGCATTATCTCGGTCTTTAACCATTGTAGTAGCAGTCTCATCGGAAACATAATCATCGTTGCCACCGTTTTTTATGTGTGTGTGTGTGTGCGTGCATCTGTATGCTTCGACTAAATCATCTTTAAAGCGTTTCTAATTTGGCTATAATAAAACGATTACGTACCACTGAAGAATGGTTATCGATTTATCTAATGTGTACATTGTTACACCAAAATGAATATATGCGGTTGCACTATAATCGAGTGGAAAAAAAAGATGAAGCGGGAGTCGAAACTTTAAATGATGGCTGCGTATAACACGCGGTTCAAATTGATAGGTGCTGTATTATTGCTGGCGACCAACTGATAAATTTTGTGTGATGTGTGCATGCACCATAGTTGGCTGCTATTCGAATTGAAAACCAACCCATTGTAAATTGTCTTTGTCAATGGGATGTGTATGTGCTGATATGGTGGTGGGGTCGCAATAAAATTGCATCACCGGCTAAATTTTTAAATAAGCTTGATCTACTACACAAGTACATTACACATTATAATCCAATAAAAACCTTATCCATGTTCGTTATGTCCTTTGGGAACAAATCTATTGACGGAATGGAATCGCAGTGTTGAATGTGCATATGCGTCTTTGTTATTTTGTTACACCGTGGCGTTTGTTGTGTGTGTGTGTGTGTGTGTGTGTGTGTGTGTGTGTGTGTGTGTGTCAAAGGAAGAAAGAAAAAAAACGTGCAAATGCATCGCAACGGAGTGTCGTTCTTCATCAACGCAATGGTGAGAGTGAAAGTTAGATTGAATGAAAAATCCCCACAGGAATTTCATTTAGCACAACCGAAAAAAAATATTGAAACGAGAGAATTTCTGGCTGGGCGAAATTGACGTGTACTCGCTTTTTTTCGCTAGGAAACAAATTAATTCTTTGGGAAGCATAACGATACGGTCTCGCTCTCGTTCTCGTCACCGTTCTTTCTTGACGAGAGGGGGTCACCTTTTCTATATATGAAATATATAAAATTGACTAAATCAACAATTCATACAAAAGGGTTGCATGACATTGTGTGCGAAAGAACGTGTGTTGTGCGGCTGCCGATGTCGTTGCAACAACGTTCACAACGTTGACTTTCGGCAATGTAAAATCTTCCATTCTTTCTCTCGCTCTCTCTCTATGCACAACATTTCGGAAGTCAAATTCTTTATTGTTGTTTATAATTTGCATAACCAATTCGAAAGCATTTATTATTGCTTCGCATTCATCGAAGATATACTGGTTGCCTGTGTGAATATGCATGCAGCCAAATACACGCTGGATTATACACCAAGAAAAGAAATTAAACCAGCACAATAGACATAATGCGAATTACAGAATGGCTTCACCATGAAAATAGAATAAAAATTAAATTATGAACCGATACAATAGACTGAAAATGCGATATGAGAGAAAGAAAGTGAAATCGAAGACAAAAAGACGATGTTGATTCGACGAACAAGAAAACAAAATTACCGAAAAAGAAATTAAATTGAAGAAAAACATAACATGAACCATGGATATGATTTTTTTTTTCGAAGAACGAAACTTTCCAACATGTTGCACAAACGGTGCTTTCAATTTTTCGTGTGTTTTTTTTTATTCAGCGCCTGATTAGACATGATTAGCATAGCAATTCATATAATGAAAGCTATGAAACAAAATTATTACCAAAGTAATAAAAAACTGAATAGCAGCGAAGATGATAAGACGAACAAAGTACATGGCTATTGATTTATTCGTAATGACCGATAAATATTTCGTTTTATGGTTGTTCTTTTTGTTATTATTGTATTACTATTGTTGCATGCAAATCAACTCAAGCACAGTCGATATATATATATTTCGACGAAATTGACACACACACAAAAAAACCGAATTTTGTTGTTGTTGGTGATTGCTTTTTCGTCGAATAATTTCGACAAATGAATATCATAATAAATTGCACACATTTTCATGCCAAATACGCAGTCAAAAATCGAATGCAGTGGTTTATCTGTTAAACAGCTTTTAAAGGGCACACCGCGACGGCAAAGGTTCAAAGAATTCAGAAGGAATGAACACGAAAATAAACCGTCCACAACGAAAAGAAAACGAGCCAGTAAATGAAGAGACAAACGTGGAACGATCCGAATCGAATGGCGAAAAAAAACCTAACGGATCAATGCAAAAGAGAATGCTTCAACAAACACGCACATTATTTTCATGCATTGGATTTCTTTTTGTGTGATGTGCTATCACACGTTTAGAGTGCCAAATATATTTACGCGTTTCAAGGTGGAAAAGCGGTCTGAAGCTGCTGCTGCTGCTGCTGCTGCTGCTGCTGCTGCAACAACAAAAACCGTATACATTCTGTGGATTCATGAAATATTTTCTAAGTTCATTAGTTTCGGTATTGGCGTCATTTGCATAATATATGAGCCTGATGTGCATCAGCCACGATACAGCGTTGAATCGATTATGAGTTAAAAATTGAATTTCGTTTCCTTTCTCTCGAATCCATCTGCTGTGAATAGGGAACAGCACAACATTGCACATTTTGGTGGTCCCTGAATGAAACGAGCATTTGATCAACTCCAATTCAACGGTGAATTATTTATTAAAAATAGTTCACTTTTTGTCTCGTCCACTTCTTCTCTCCTCTCTTCCTCTTAAATTCAAGAAAATTTGTGTTATACTTGAAAAAATGTTTGTCAACGACCACATGTGACTCAAAGCGAATCAATGACAAACAAATTCCGGTCCTTTACTTTAGAACGCATTGAGTTTGAACATTTCGAATAACTAAATAAGTAAATAATAAATTACAATGAAATATATTATTAAACATGTATGATTATTTTTGATTATACGCTTCGTTCCGCAATCAAATTTTTTTTGACAAGCCGACTACACACAGAGAGAGAAAGAACAAAAAATTCGTCAATTCAGCCGTTGTGTGGTTCGAATTAGTTTCGGTTTACATTTTTTATTCATTATTATTAAAAACCCGAAAAACAACAACGATTGCAATGTGTAGAAATATTCTTTGCTCCGCGAGAGAGAGAGAATGTTCTTATGAATTGATCAAAAACTGTTTAATTGCATACATGTCCGTTTCAGTTCAGGGTGTTGTGTACATAATTCAACTGAATTTTTTTTATTTTTTTTGGATTTTTGAAAAAGGTTCGGCATCGGTTTTTTGGGTCTTCATCTTCATATTCATTTCACTGGTTTATTTCTCTGTGTCTATGTTGATTCACTTTACGTTCATAAGTTCATATATTCATAACGATATCGTTATAATTTATAACACACAGTGTTGTTCTCTCTTTTTTTTTTTTTTTTTGGTAAAAATGTTGGGCTGGCCAATTCAAAATAATTTTATTATCATTTTCCCTGTTGTGTTTGTGTGTAAATGTTTTTGTTTTGTTTTTAATTTCACGATGATGTTCGTTTCGGTGGTACCGTATTGGATTTCATTTCACATTCAAAATTCATCTGGCTGACCGAAAATGTGTTTGAACGAGATTACACAAGTTTTATGGCCTGTTTTCTCGAATTTTATTCCATTTAATATTTTCTATCTTGCTCGCCTTAATTTATGATCCTCCACTAGTTTACGGATTTATTTATTTTTTCCGCTCTCCAGTATATGATTTGTAGTTCATATTTGTTCAAGTTAGTCTTAAAGCGATTAAGCGATGTCAGTTAAACAAAAATCCGGAATAAAAGGGGAACAACGGGCACAACGAAATGTTTCTTTTTGATAACTGTAATTTTTTATGCCTAATTAATAATTATACATTGCATCCAATACAAGAAAATGCCATTCACCGCGCAAATGTTATGCATACATATAGTGAATAGTGTGCTCGATTGGTGAATAATTGAGGCAAGTCATCGATAAAATCGGTTGATTAAGAAAAAAACGAATATTTAAACGAATGGAAGAAAAATCATTAAATTCTCAAGAGAGTGAGAGAACAAAACGCGAGCCACATCTTAAAAAGACATCAATCACACTGTAATTAAAATTAACCGACATAAATCGGATTTTGGGTCGAAAACCGAAAACCGAAAACGATCTTTCCAATCATTTTCGTCGACTTTGTGTCCATGGCGCATATCATAGCAGAAATGAAAGAATGCATCATAATAACGACGATTGCTTCACTCTACCACTCTCTTTCGGTCCTCTCTCTTTTCAAACCAAATAAATTTTCGATAATGAGATTTTTGAACACCAACAATAACAACAAGAACAAAAATGAAATACAGATAAGTCTAATTCGTGTCCGTCGCTATGATATATCGAGCATATATACACTAGATGAAATATATATTAGAACTTACCCAATAAAATTGTCTAATATTTTTTGTTGAATTTTTTTTTCTTCTCTCTCGTTCGATATATGTAAGCTCTTCCTTCAACAATACAAAACAGAATTTATAATCCAATTTAATCCGGCAGGTCAATTAATAATTTCAGTTTATTTCTTTGTTATGCATTTGTTTTTTGTCAGTATTAAAAAAATTCTTGTGATTTGTTTCTTTTAATTATTTCAAAACGAATGAACAACGAACGATCGAGAACTGTATGGAGATTTTAATCTCGTCTTTCTGAAATGTGTGTCTTCTCTCACAATAATTTTCACTCAATTAACTTTATTTGTTCGGTTTGGTTTTTCTCTCTTCTATTCTTGATTCAAATTCGAGAATGGACAACACAAGGCCGATTAGTAATCTTAATTCGAATGATTCGGTAGCGCACAATATACATTCACATTCTTACAAAATAATCCTGTCTAATAAATATAATTCGATTCACTTCAAATTTAAACACAAAAACCGTTTTTTTTTTTTTTCAATTCGTTCTTTTGTTCCACACTCAACACGAGATAAAATTCAATTGACTTGTGACAGAAATGTATTGACACCTTTTCACACTAATTTTATCAAATTGCTTGTTTTAATTTTGGAGAAAAGTTTCGATATTAAATTTCATGCATTTCTTAACTCAATCGTTGGACAAAATTCGATCACTTTATATTTGAGTAGTTCAGCATAGTTTACAAATCATGCCAAATCATATGATAGCTTTGTGACAATTTGTTTTTTGTTGCTTTATTTATTGTTTCAATCGAAAACTTCGTTCTAAGAAACGATCAGAATTTCTTTCACAAAATACAATTAAGTTGAGATAACAAACTCTTCAAGCAAGTCAAACAATGTTTGCAAGTTCACTCCAGATCCAAATTTATTTTTTTCTTTTTATTTACTATGCACTGTTTAATGTTTATTTCGGAATATTCGTTTGGATAATGTTCACTGATCAAAAGAGAATTTTCAATGAAATATAACAAAAATTCGTTTCTCTTCGGGACTCAAAGAAAAACAAAAAAAAAACACATGAATTTAAACACAAGAAAATTGCTTACGATGTTTTTATTTTGTAAATGAACGAAATAAAAATTTATTCTCTCAATAAACACACTGTGTGAGATGAATAAAAAAGAAAATCGGTTTCGTCTCCTACGATCGAGACTAGTAAATAAAATACGAATTGTCGAAAACTGTTGGCAGGAAACGTAAATTACGAGAGCCAGCTAATGTGTGAAGCGCAAACAAAATAAATGCACATCCACTGAACACCACGATCTTACGCAAACTGAATTTGAAATTCAGTCTAAACAGATTGTTAAGGCTCTAACCAAAACAAAAATTCAACAAACAGCGGCACTGGAAGAGAGTTCCGAATTCCACTTGAGTGTCGCAACGACGCAGCCAATGCGTTTACAGTCATCCATGCATATGTTCTCACATTCATTCGTTCTACCGCACACATAAACGGGGACGGTGCGCGCGAGTACGCATCTAATGCACCGTCGTTCAGTCAACGTTCGTGTTCGTTGCGGCTCGTGTACGCAACCGACGTCATTCCGTTCTTATTTGATTCTCGAATTGTGCTCAATGAAATGATGTACCACTAGCTATACTGCTCTGTCGCATTCATGTTATTACATTTCCAATTGATTTGCCGTTTCACTTGTGGATGCGTATGTTTTTGTTTTCATTTGGCGTCAGACGTTCAGTGTTTTTGTGTGGCATCGGCAATCGTACAGCATGATGTTGCGGATGGATAGCAATTTTGATATCGGACTCAAGAGTGAGTGAACCACAGTCATTGCTTAAATACACTCATATAGAACGTAATATACGATTTTAAATGGAATATCGTTGTACTGCTGAGCATACGCGCTCGATGACGATGATAAGACACAGAAAACGTGACCGCCGTTTGCAGATGCAAGAAAAACATACGTTGGAAAATCACATGGGATATTGTGATTATGTATTGTCGCTGTTACGCTACGTGTATGCTTTGCCGGCATATTTTTTGAGTTGTTTATGCACACTTTTGACTCAGTGCAAACTTGGTTAAACTACAGTCACGCGAATTGAGTAGTTTTTTTTATTCGTCTTCTTCTTTTTTTGGTCCGTGAATGTGTGCATTGTGTGTTGGATTCTAATTGAATTTGTACATTTTCTCATAATTTCCTTTCGTTGAGTTCATATTGGATGCATATGATTGCTGCAAAATGATGATGTTAGCGTCGTTATTTCTGCGAACTGTGACGAACAAAATGGAATTTTATGTTCATTTTTACCACGAATTTAAATCAACTTGTCAATTTATGCAATTATTCTTTACTGTCGTAATAATATACACATCATCGTTGTTGTTGCTGTTGTTGCATCACCACATCGAAACTTTTTATTTTTATTTATTTTTTTTTTTTTTTTGAAAATTCCAAATTGTATTTGGACGTAATTTGCAGAGCGCACTCCAAAATGTAAACCCTCTTAATTAAGTTGAGTGGACATTCATCACAATAAAAGGTCGATCTGTTTTATAATGGAAACGCTTTATGGCGAAAATAATTACATTTCGAATTCACTAGAATAAACGGCAGCACTACCAAATGTCTATATCCATCCATATACGGTGTCTTTTTTTCGTTTTTCTTTTCTTAATCTATATGACATTCTATTTGTTGCACATTTTGTGTCCAAAACAGAGGAAAAAATTCGGTAAATGCTATTAGTGACTGAAGCTTTGGTTGCTGGGCTAGCAGATATAATTTATGGATGATTTTAACTTGATATTAAAATGCTGGAAGAGAAAAAAACACAAGCAGAGAAAATATATTGAAATCGAGAGATAGGAAGAATGCTTGTAGTCTAAGTGAGATGAAAGACAGGGGGTAGCAAACTATGCATTCAATACTTTACACTGACAAACACACACATACATTGAAATTATTTTCTTGATTGTGTGTGTGTGTGTGTGTTATGATAAAATATCTGATGTCGAGAGATGATATTGTGCTCTCTACGAACGCATCATAAGAAAGAAATATTGCATAGTTTTTTACTTGCTTTATCGTTTTTCTTCGCTTTCTCTCTCTCTAGCTGAAAACTCGGCGATTTCGTTGGTGCAACATGGCACAAAAGAAAATCGATCGCGCCGGTACTAATGGTTACTAGATGGCAAATTGAACGAGGGAAAATTGCATGGATTCAAGCACGAATATGGTGTCATGTGCATTGCTTGCTGCCTTTTTTTCTGAATTTTTCGCTCGTTTTTCGGACAACCAAAAGATATTGTCATACATCGTTGCATACAACTTATAAAAATAGTCGTACATATATTGAAACCCGGGGGATGTGAATGATGGTGGACCATTTTGTTCGTATGTGAAAGAGTATGTGTGTGTGTGTCTCTTTCTCTCTCTCTCTCTCTCTCTCTCTCTCTCTCTCTCTCTGTTGTTCGAAAATAAATGAAGCAAAATGAGAAACGAGCGATATGTTCAACAAAACGATTGGGTAACAAAATCCAGGAAAGTTGAGACAAAAAAATATACAGCGAAAGTATGTTCGCGCGAGCACGCCAAGAGAATTTATATGAATCAACATTCCTTTGGCATTTTTTCTAGTTTACCGTTAAATCGCAATCAAATAAAATGAAATTTGCCGTTTTTTGTTGATATCAATGACAAAATCAACGAAAAAACATCCGAAATGTCTTTGTATGTACACTGTATCTACGTGTGTGTATGCTTTCTTTCGCCCCTTTTTTTGCGTTAAAAATGCCTGAAATGAATCTAATATGCGTTGAATACAAGGAAGAAAACGATTCTTGGAAATCGCTGTGTGCTTCAAATATTGTGCATTCCAGCGTCCCTTTGCGAAACGCGTTTACTCACACAAGTGGCTGTCGATGAGAATTATTTCGCCACGTTGTAGAAATCGTATCATTGCACCCGAAATGGATGTACATGTGTGTGTGTATGTAAGTCTTTGTCTCTTGGATATTTATGTGTGCATGAGGCTATCACAGATCATAAAGCAATTTCATATTTTGTGCTGTGTTGTGTTTTGTTGTATTGCGCTCATGGTCGTTGCTTTCATGGCCCATCTCATTACATTCCGTATCCATGCACACGCTGATATTGTTGTGAACGAAGCAGAAAAATAGAAAAGTACCCAGCTTGATAAACCTGGTGTTAATGCAATGTAATAGATTTTTTGTGGGTTTCTGTCTCAAGCCTCACAACAGCACCATACACAATGCGCGTTTATTTGAAAATGCTGTTAATGAGATATGAGAGGATGCGAACAGAAGCATTTGGGCATCATTGTCGTCATCGGTATCATCAACATCACCATCATCACATATATCCGTTTCGTGCGGTGCGTGTGCATGGCACAGACACAGTTGTGAATTGTTATAAACGTTGTGTTACTTAAATTATGTGATTCGTTTGACATACTGTTATTTCGTAAGGTGCTGCTGCTGCTGCTGCTGCTGTTGAAGTTGAATCGAATTAAGGGATGCGATGGTATTTTATATTTATTGTGTGGATCGACAGAAAATATTTTTGTATATGAATAAGAGAGCCCATTCTGATGCTTAAGCTGCCATAAAGAAAGGAATGAAAAAAATCCCCTCATTCCATGAGGTAACCGGCTGCTGTGTGCACAAATAGCGATGAAAATGCGATTGACAGTAGTTATGCCTTACGAAATTTGTGTGCACGATTGTTTATATGTGACCGCATTTTGTGTGTACGTGTTATCGTGTATAACAATGGTAGCGAGAGAGAGAGAGAGCGAGAGCGAGATAGAAAAAGAGTAAACAACTTTTGTGGTTTTTCTTCCAGCCTGTGGCTGCTCATTCATTTCATATTTAATGTCGAAAACATTTTTGATGGTGGTGTAACAGATGAAATACTCCATTTCGCTTTTGTTTTCAAGCAAACGAGCGCGTGTGTTGTTTTTCTGCACTCTGGTTTCTCTCAGTGTCTAAGAGAAAGAGACGAGGAAAGAACAGTGATAAAACAACATAATTTTTTTTAGGGTGAATTCAACGTTTTGATACGCTTTTATTCACATTTTAATATATATGCGGTGCCCATTATAATATTCATTCAAACTTCTTTTTTATCATTCTACTTCCTCGAATTGGCAAACGGTATGCACCGGCAAAAATCGGGGCAAGAAAGACACATGCGAAGAAAGGCCCACTGGCACAGAGGTACAGACTGAGAGAAGGAGACGGTAAATTCATCATATTTTTCATCGACCGGCTACCGTTAAGTAATTCTTAATATATTTCGACTATTATCACAATTGTTAAATGCTTTGCTGGCTCGAAGTTCTGTAATAGTGGAATTTATGTACCCGGTCATAAATTATGAATTATTGCGCCGTTGGCTAAGAATTCGCCTTTTTCAATTCGATACTGTTGCTTTTATTATTATTATTATTGTCGTTTCGTATGTATTTCTTACTTATTTTTTTCTTTGTTCATTTTCTTGTTAAACTCTCGTTTTCGCTTTATTTGAGGATTTTGTCCCCTACTCCATTTCCCATTCCATTCAATAATCGAATGGGTGCATTTTTTCCATTGTTCTTATTACTATTATTATTATATAGTTTTTCCTCTTTCTATTTCGTTTCGTTTCTCATACAATGATGATGACCGTTTTTATATGGTTAGATTTTAAAATTAAGTAAAAAATTTACCCGATCCATTCTCAGGTCAATGAAAACAATTGAATTGTATTCCTATGGCATGATCAACATAAAATTCTATGTTCTAAAATAAGGTTCAGTCTTTTAAGTTTTTCAATACTCATTTAAAATATAGATATCATTATTGGATGGCACTATCATGCGCATTATTCGACATCGAGTCGTTCCTTTCGGTTAAGAAGAAAAATATCGATTTTTTAGTGAATAATTTATGCATTTTAAAATAGAGAATGCCATTCTTTTCACTGCATGATGATTTGTATGGATAAGTTTGTGTGTATGTGTGAATGCGAGTGTGACGGGAAAATCAAATAAAATGGAAATAATATTGTGTTCAACAATAGTGTGTGTGTGCATCAAAATAAATGCGTCGATTGCTTGATAGCAATATGAGACCATGTCAAAGAAGCGACTACTACTTTTTGCTGCTGACTGACTGACTGCCAGCTCTCTACCCGTTTGTATTTGGGACATGGTTTATAAGTCGGGGGCCGATTTTCACTGTATTGCATAAAATTATGCCACCCTTCTCGATTAACACACCATCCAAATTT